ATGACAACTGGTCAGAATGAAATGGCAACTTACTGAGAGAAAAATCTGCCTCGTTAGTCATGTATCTTTCGCCTAAGCGTGTATCACTCATGGCACATAACTGACTGAACTGATTTACTATATATATATATATATATATATATATATATATATATAGAGAGAGAGAGAGAGAGAGAGAGAGAGAGAGAGAGAGAGAGAGAGAGAGAGAGAAAGCGTTGGGTGACAATGCATATATTAAAAAGAGAATTTACAAACCTGGATGCAAATTTAATGTGATTGATCTAGAGATTAATGATTGTCATCAGTCTCATTACGGTGATCAACTAATGCCTTTAATGTGGTGTTTTGTAAAAAATCCTTTTTGTGTTCATATAATCTTTTATTTAAATTCCTTGAGGTTTCTCCGATGTATTCCTTGGGGCAACTATTACTATTACTGATAGAGTAAATCCCTCCTTCAACTTTTAGATTATTACTTTGTTTAGTATTAATTCTTTTATTGTTTTAGACGTGGTTCTGACATAATTTATGTTGGTTACATTCACTTATGTACAAATACCTTCAGGAATTTTCTTCAAGTTTTGTTTTAATTAGTAAGACTTGTATCAGAAAATTATTATAAAAAGGTCGATAAGCCGTAAAAAATCAATCAATCGATGATAAAAGTTTTCACTACGTGCCTTGTTCTCTCAGGATGTAAACGATCATAGCTCTCCACAACTTCCTCTCTCTTTTAGCTCTTAATAAACTGTCTCTTTTATATTTCTCCTAAGCATTGTTCCGTCATCCATTTACTGAAACTTATATTGTGCTTTGTCTTCCTCTAACCCTCTTGCCCTTTATCTGTCCTGTGAGTATCAGATTTTCCAAACCCTCCTTCCTCTTTATGTACCCTAGTAATCTCAACTGCCTCTTCCTGATGTTAAGTATTAGTTTCCTTTTTGTTTCCATTTTCTCCAAAACTTCGTCTTTGTTCACATTTTCAGACCATCGTATCCTCAGCATCCTTCCGTAGAGCCAGATTTCTGTTGCTTCCAGTATCCTCTTCATGTAATTTTTTTTTTCTCTTTGTTTGTAGATTCTTCTTCTTTATGTACGGTAGGACGTAGGTGATCATGGCTCGCTACAAGTTCCTCTCCCTTGTAGCTCTTAATAAACTGTCTCTTTTTTTATATTTCTTTTAAGCCTAGGTCTGCCATTCATTCACTCAAGCTTATTGTGTATGTTATGCGATGTCTTCCTCTATTGCTCTTGCCCTCTGTCCTCTGAGTATCAGATTTTCCAAGCCCTCCTTATGTGCTTCAGAAATCTCAACTGTCTCTTTCTGATGTTAAGTATGTTTCCTTTTTGTTTCCATTTTCTCCAAAACTTCGTCGTTGTTCACATATTTGGTCCATGGTATCCTTAGTAACCTTCTGTAGAATCACATTTCTGTTGTTTCAAGTTTCCTCTTCATCTTTGGGGAGATCGTCCAGCACTCACCTGAACTGTCCCTGTTAAGAAAAAAAATTAAAAGAATCATTAAATTCACCTTAATCGGCCTAAAACACCCCTTTCTCTACAGAAGTTATTCAAGGCACATTAGGCATTAGAAACACATTACTATTGTCTCAAGTATTCTCTTCATCTTTGGGGAGATCGTCCATCATTCGATGCTCTACAGAAGGACAGATATCACGTATCAGTTTGGTACTCTTTTCCTTGTTTCTAGCGAAATGTTCTTCCTTTTTATTTGTACTCTGCTTAGCTTTTGGAATGCTTCTTTGGCTATTCCATTACGCCTTCTTATCTCTGTGTAGTCAAACAATAATCATTTTGTTCTCCTTAAAATTAAAGAACACAGAATTTTCTATCGATCCAAAAGCCATTGTTTAATCAACAGGTGTTAAGTAAACCCTTAACTTGTGTAATGTAGTGAGACCAAGGAGCGGTCATGGTCGCCATTTGTAATACTGTCATGGCGCATGTGCCAGACAAAAACTTAAAAACAAACTCTTAGTGATTTGCATGCGTGAGCATGTGACTGATATAAACGAAGAGCTACAGTTTTTTTTTTTTTTTCAGGGCGCAGTTTTTTTTTGTTTTTTGTTTTTTAATCGGACTGTTTAAACGGCGTATTGGATTGATAGCGGTAGGAAGTGTGCTGGGATTTCTTGATAGTGGACGTACGGTTCTTGATTGCAAAATCTCCTTCGGCACCCACTTTCGATTGTACAGTGTTTTGATTATCAGTTTGTTTTGTTTTGAACTTCTTTTATTGTATTTTGAATACGTCAGCCTCATTGGGATTGTGTACAAATTCTGATATGGTATTTTTTGGTGGAGGTGGGTATGGCCAAAGAGACGCTGAAATCTTTTTTTTTCCTGTTGCTATTTTTATAGTCCTAGCAAATGTAGATTTTGCTATTTTTGCTGTTTCTGTTGAATTTCAACTATGGAAGACAAAATTTGCTCCATATTCGCAAGTTTTTTTTATTCTATACTGTTATGGGACATTACC